CGTTGAGCTATTAAACAAATTTAAACATTTTATATTGTTATTTTATTTTTGTCTAAAATTAAAACAAGACTCTCCCTCCTACCCTGCTTACCAAAAAATGATGATGATGATGATGATGATGATTATGAAGATGATGATGATGATGATGATGATGATGATGATGATGATGATGATGATGATGATGATGATGATGATGATGGTGGTGGTACTTTGACTAATAAGACAGTCCGTTGACCACCTCTATCTGCCTAGTCATGTTGAGCACTGCTCAGGAAAGATTTTTCAGCCACAGAAAATCAAAGCATGAAGTTGTCGAAGTAAAAGGCAGCAATATAAAGCCTAAAAATCTCTCTTCTCTCTCTTTGTTTTTCTATCTCTCTGACTGTCTCTTTCTGCTTCTCTGTGCCTTTCTACCGCTTCTATCCCTCTTTCCCTCTTTCCCTCTTTCCAGCTCTTTCTCCTCCTCCTCCTCCTCCCTCTCTTCTCTCCCTCTCTCCCTCTCTGTATCTACTTCTATTCCTGTAAACTTCCACACCTCTCTATTTCCTTCAATGTTCTCACTCTGTGTATTTGTTGCTTTTTAAACTCCACTAACAATGGCTTTCCGTCTCTCTGCTTCCTTAAAACAAAACATACTTTCCTCACCCCTTTCTCTCTCCTCATTTGTTCTCTCTCTCTCTCTCTCTCTCTCTCTCTCTCTCTCTCTCTCTCTCTCTCTGGCGTTATAGTCGTTGTCTTGGTCAGGGATGCAGTTGGGGGTTTTTTTTTGTCGTTTATCCCCGATATTCCGTTGTTTCAATAGAAGAATAGACATTAACTTCGATTTCTGCTTTGTCCAAGATTGATTTACATAAAAGCGTTCTTGAAACTTCAAAAAAGAAAATGGAAAAAAAGTCAGTTTGAGCAGAGTTTGGACTACAGGAAGGAAGTGGCAAAAACCTCGTGGCGTCTGAGAGACATTATGGCGTCCTGCGTCATTTGGTCTTTTGGCTTGTGTGGGGACGGGTTTTGTCCTGATGGAGAACGAACGGCGTCTTTGCCTGGCCGAACTCGTGATCAACGTGCCCGGGGTCTTCAAAAAGTCGTCACGAGGGATCGATCAGCGTTGATAGTGTTTCAAGCCTGCTTCAAGAGTTCCACGAGTATTATTCCTTCATAATCCCAAAACACTCGCTACCTAGCTCAGAATTGTAAAATTCTATCTGACATTTTGGACCGTTTTGAGTTACCAAGACCATGAGATCAGAAATCAAATGTTCTTTCTTCGCTATCAAAATCGTGAGATTATTCGGAGTTGTTATCAAGATATTCAAAGAATAGCATTCGAAAAAGCTTGACTTATTGTGAAACTCAAAAAAAAATTTACGGCAAATTTCTCGAAATTCGATGCTGAGCAGATAGAATGTGTAATTCGGAGGTAACGCACTGTCAGAGCAATTTCGCAGAGTGCTTGCAGTAACTTTTTAGGACTTGGCGAACTTTTATATTGGAGTTCCATGGGTCGTCCCATGTTTTCTGGGTCATAATAGTAAACACGTGGTTCATTCTCAAAGACAAGGCACTGGGCAACACTTGAAGGAAATTGATACATAACGAAAGTGCAGAAGTCAAAGATGATATGTGTGGGTGGTGTATTGAAAAAAAAAACGCTTTATTTTTTTTCTCCGACCAGATGCAAAGCCTTATTGTTCCTTGGCACACCTTATTTTGGAAATTGTGATTCACGAGGTATTGACAGTATTACTATCTGTCTCTTTCTCTCT